TGCCTTGCACCAAGATTTAAACCACCTCTTATATGCCCTAGCATTATATTTCACAATGTGTTACAACAAATCCCTTGTATGGACCCTCACTTTAAAACACAATTTTCTTATTTACATGCCTTATTATAAGATCTACACCATTTAATATATGCCCTTACAAATTATTTTCTATGTGTTATAATAATTTCCATGCATTTCATTTCAATTCATTTTACTTGAAGTAAAATATATCCTTGAGCTAGGTTGTAAATAAATCACCACTTGTAATTGTCCAAGTGTTCTTTTATTAGTGGTAGAGACTTTATGTGAGAGATTAGAGGTGTTGAATAATTATTGGTGCATTTGGAAAGGTAAGAATGGCATTAGTCAAAGAATTAAGAGAAGTTGTGTACAAGAATTAGGCCAAGTGGCAAAATCCTAGCCATGCATCTTGTTTGACCAAAGATTAGATGAATTTTAAACCAATTTTTGCTCCATTCCTCCACCATAATTTCGTGCCCTTCTTAGCTTCCAAGAGAAGGAGAGAAACTCCATTTTAAAGCTTTCTAAACCTAGTGTGAGCTTGAGAGAAAAATCAAAAGAGAAAGATCTAGAGTTAGTGAGAAACTTTCCTCCAATCCTTGTGGTTGTTCCAAGCTTGAAGCTTTCATTTTGGTGGATTGTTTTGGTGATTTGAGCACCTTGTAAGTAAGGTAAGTACTCTTTAATTTGGGGGTTTTATGTGTTAGATCATCTACTATAAGCTCTAATCATGAATTGCAAGTTGTTGTGGTTGGAATTGAAAGTTAACCCCTTGAATTAAACAAGTAGTGGATGAATTGTTAGTATGCACACCAAGTGTTTGATGAAATGTTCAACTCTTATTCATTTATGTTTATGAGGTATTGATATGTTTTAAAACCTTATATGGTTAGATGTAATACTTGAGATGTGCAAAAGGTGAAAATAATGAGAAGAGTGAAAGTTGGGAAAGAATTAAGGATGCTGACCGAAACTGTTCAGCTTGCTGTCCGGTTTTTGCCCTGATGTTTCATGCATATTTTGGCTACAAATGTGAGTGATATATGTTGGGTTATGTGTGTAGAGGTTGTCTACAAAAAATTAGCCAATTTGGTTGAGTAAATTTTGAGTTGCAAGCAAAGGGACAAAACTGGACTAGGTCCAGAAACTTTCTGTCCAGCGATGTTGTAAAGGCTATAACGTTTTACTCACTGATCTGAATTGAGTGCCATTTGTGGCATTGGAAAATAGACTCATAGAGCTTTTGGTACCTGGCTCATGTTCTGGTTCGTCCCGAGTAATCCGTGGCAAGTCGTGGAAGTCGGCTGCCCGTGCGGTACTGTTCATCCGAGGCAGTCCAGAAATTTCTTTTGGCTTCTTAATTTTGAGCCACTTAAGCTGGGATTTTGGAAATGGTTTCTTCACAACAAATTTAACCTTAAGAACCTAGTTTCCAACGCAATTGATGGAACCTAATTCTGACTCTCCTACCATGAACAGTGACCATTTTCCCGAGGTTGGTCGGGCGAGACAGTTTAACCGTAATGAAACTTTTGAGTTTCGGTGAAACCCTTCTTTTGCCGAACTTTCATGTACATACCAAACTTGTTTTCTTATCAACTTTTCCCATGGTTTGGACCTCATTTGCATGATAGATTAAGTAGCTTAGGCTACTCACTTGGTCTCTTAATGAACCTATACTTGAGTAAGGAACGAATCCAATTGTTAATGGTTTCGCTCGTTGACCTAGGTTTGGGCAACAAAGGTGATCATAACTGAGACGTTTGATGTCAATTGCTACTTTTGCTTGACAGGTGAGTGTTTCACTACTTGCTACTTGTTATGTGGAATACTTGCATACTTGAAATCGTTGATTTGCTATTGTTTGAGCTAAACACTGTTTTAGTTAAAATCGAGGCGAGTGTGTACTTTATCGCACTTGACCTTCCTTGTTTTCCACTGAGGCTCTACTTACTGAATGAAGTAATATGAAATGAGATATTGCTATACATGACCGTGCTTAAGTTGCGTGGATGACATTCCGCCAACTACTGTTACTGTTTGGGTACCCAACCTCATAGGTGAGTCAGTTGTATCGAGCCAGCAAGGGCTTGGTCGAGAAGGCCGATAAACCTTGAGGACTGTTTACTGTTCACTGGAAATTGAATCTTGCCTGGAGGTCCCTGGTGAAGCATAGCCGTTGTGCTTGCTTGTTGTGTTGTCCAGCACCACCAGTGATAAAATCCTCGGCTTGATACTGTTTTATTGGAATCCTTGAGCATTGGAAACTCGGATTCCTGGTATACTCGAGTATTACCAAATTACTGTTTATGGAGTGCGGGCCCGGTGGGGGGTTGTTTGGGGGACGGAGACTGGTGAAAGTGGTGTTCTACGGACCTATATACTGTTACAAGTGTTGACGGAGTGTTAACAGGAGGCAATTATGATCAAGCTCAAGTGGACCTTTGGCTTTTGAAAGCCACCCGTATCCTTGAATTGAATTGTAATTAAACTGTTATTTTACTGTACGGTGTTTAGTTGGCTATTTTGTGATTTTATGTGGCTATGTGTTTACTTGTTTACCTGGAACCTCACTGGGATTTAGCTCACCCCATTCCCTTTGTTTTCCTTAACGGATCAGGAAGGGATTTGATCGAGGGCTTTCTTAGCTTTATTTTGCCGTTCTTGCGTTTTGAGGTTGTAACTTTCGTTTAAGCAGACTTGTAAGCTTAAATTCGTAAGGATGATTTATATTATGTAATTTTGAGTGAAGCGTGGTAAGTTGGCATACGATGATATATGTACTAAGCTAAATTGTTGGATTAGTGATCATGTTTGAGTTAGTGTTTCAATCTCCTACATTGTCAAATGTTACATTCATTTCATTGATGATATTAGTACTTTGAACGACTGAGTCCTGGCGAGAGTTAGGCAGGCAGTCCGCTGATACCCTAGGGTTTGCCCAAGGGAGAGGTGGGGCTGTCACAATCCCTCTCTTGATAAGAAAGAATTTTCAAGGGATAGTGTGTAATAGATAACTATTGTTTGCTCAGGTGCTCAAGGAGACCTTCACGAGAATCTCGAAGGGAACACCTAAAGGCTTGTTTACGCACTCACTCTCTTATTTTAATTGGTGAGTGTCAAGTGCATGAATTTGTTACTAAGTGGTTAACTGTTTCTTAACCGTTATATGAAATTTAAAATTTTTTAGACGAGTGTGTACTTTACCTCACTCGTTCTCTTTCGAACGAAATCATATTCGTATTTTGCTATGTGAATTCATATTCAGCTTGTACATAGTAATGTGGATGTGATTCATATTTGTGATTCGTATTTGGAATCGTCGATTCGAGTGTTGCTCATCAACTTATATTCATATTTGTGTTCGTATTCATATTCGTATTCGTATTTGGGGGACGCCCAAACTCGTTGGTTAACTTTGCGAATCGAGCTAGCATGGGCTTGGTCTAAGTTTAGCAAACCATGAGATATTCGTAGAGTATGATCTATTGGAGAGATCTTGCTCGACATTACTCGTGCAGTATTGCCATGATATACTCGAGTATTATCAAAACTTTGATGAGCGGGTTCGGTAAAGGGTGTAACGGTGACGGGATTCGAAGAAAAGTGGTGTATCTACGGACTTGCTACTTATATGATTGACAAAGTGTTAACATGAGATGTGATCAAGACTTGGACACGACTACGTGGAATTTAGCTCCTGAGAACTACAGTATCCTTGAATTGCTTCTGTTTATTTTTCCTATTCGAAGTGTAAATTATTCGAACTTGATAGCTTTGCTTACAATGTAATTATTGTTGCTATTTGGATTATGTGTTTGCATGCGTGTTTCTTGGCCTCACTGAGTATTGGCTCATCCCATTAGTTTGTTTTCCTTAATAGGAATCCAATTGGAAGGAGTTAAGCAAATGCCGACTTGAGGCACTTTTGTATTAGTATTTTAATTGTAATCAACTAAACACTTTTGGATGTTGTATATTTTGGAGAAAAGTGATTGTAAATTTGAAGTTGTAACGTAAGACTGGATATTTATATATGGAAATGACTTCGTACCTTTATTCCGATTTTCATTGTTAGTATTAGACTAGGTTTGAATTGAAATTGTCTCGAATCCTGACGAGAGTTGGGCAGGCATCTCGCAGATACCCTTGGATTCACTCTTGGGTGAAGTGGGGGCGTCACATATCTACGCGGACGATGGCAAAATAGTTCAAGTTGAGGTAATTGGAGATTTTATTTGGATCTTAATGAAACATTTGTTGTACCATCTTTTCGATGGAATTTGATTTCTATTTCTGTTTTGGACAAATTTGATTATTTTTGTTCTTTTGAAAATGAAAATTTTGAATTGTTTCATGATTTAAAATTGGTTGGTTCTGGTTCTTTAATGCACTACGATAATCTATATTTAATTGATACAATTGTGTCATTTAATGAATCTCTATATTTAAGTATTAGAGGAGTAAAGAGAAAATTAACCAATGAGAATTCAACTGCATTATGGCACAAGAAATTGGGACATATCTCCAAACGGAGAATGGAAAGGCTTGTGTCAAATGAAATTCTCAACCCCTTAAATTTTACAGATTTTAATGATTGTATTAACTGTATAAAGGGAAAACAAACCAATAAAAGGAGATTTGAAGCCAATAGGTCCTTAGACGTTTTAGAACTTATACATACAGATATTTGTGGATCATTTCCTACATCTACTTGGAATGGTCAATAATATTTTATAACGTTGATAGACGATTTTTCAAGATATGACTACATATATCTCATTTCAGAAAAGTCACAGTCACTGGACGTGTTCAAAAATTTTAAAGCTGAAGTTGAAAATCAATTCAACAAAAGAATTAAAAGCGTCAGATCTGACCGTGGTGGTGAGTACTATGGTAGATATGACGGCTCAGGTGAACAACGTCTAGGACCATTTGCTAAATACCTAGAAAAATACGGTATCGTCCCACAGTACACTATGCCGGGTTCACCCATTATGAATGGTGTAACTGAAAGACGAAATAGAACTCTTAAAGACATGGTAATGAGTATAATATGTCATTCTACCTTACCAGAGTCACTCTAGGGAGAAGCACTTAAGACTGTAGCATATATCTTTAACAGAGCTCCAACTAAAACAACTATCAAAATCTCTTATGAGTTTTGGACAGGAAAAAAGCCTAATTTAAAGCATTTATATATTTGGGGATATCCAGTTGAGGCAAGGCCTTATAGGCCAAATGAAAAGAAACTGAACTCAAGAACGATTAGTTGTTATTTTATTAGATACTTTGAAAGATCCAGAGGTTACAAGTTTTATGATCCCACAACTAAATCAATTTTTAAGACAGGAAATGCCCGATTCTTTGAGGATGTCGAGTTTGGGGGAGAAAATACAGTAAGAGGCATTGTCTTTAAAGAGGAATATATTAATATTCCCACATGTATCATTGATCTTATTCAGGATCCTATTCCTGAACAAGATCATGACATCATAAATCAAGACAATGTCGAAGAACAAACTGTTATGGAAAAACAAACTCTTTCTTTTCAAGAAACAGTGACATTAAGAAGATCTATTAGAGAAAGGAGAAATGCAGTGCTAGATGATTACATTATTTTTCTCCAAGAACATGAGGATGACTCTGGACTGATGGAAGATGATCCAATCAACTTTCGTCAAGTCATGGAAAGTTCAAATTCTCAAAAGTGGATCGATGCCACAAATGAGGAGATTAAATCCATAAAAGACAATGATGTTTGGGATCTTGTCACATTGTCAGAAGGAGCGAAACTCATTGGTTGTAAATGAATATTTAAAATCAAAAGGGATTCGAAAGGCAATGTGAAAAGATACAAAACTCGTTTTGTCGCTAAGGAATTTACAAAAAAAGAAGGTATCGACTATAAAGAAACCTTCCTTTCGGTCTCTTTAAAAGACTCTTTTAGAATTATTATGGCATTAGTGGCGCATTTCGATCTTGAGTTACATCAGATGGATGTAAAGATAGCATCTCTCAATGGTAACATTGATGAGACAATTTATATGGTGCAACCAAAAAACTTTGTATCAGGAGATCCAAAGAATATTGTTTGTAAACTTAAAAAATCCATCATGGGCTCAAACAAGTGTCTCGACAATGGTATTTCAAATTTCATCAAATGATCATCTCATTTGGTTTTGAGATGAATTTCGTAGATGATTGTATATACCATAAGTTCTGTGGGAGCAAGTACATTTTTCTGGTATTGTACGTTGATGACATTTTGCTTGCCAACAACGATATTGATCTATTACATGAAATCAAGAAATTTCTAACTAAGAATTTTGAGATGAAAGATCTTGGTGATGCATCTTTTGTGTTAGGCATCCAAATACACCGGAATTGATCTCGAGATATTTTAGGACTAATACAAAAGAATTATATCGAAAAGGTTCTCAAAAGATATGGCATACAAAATTGTAAAACAAATGACACACCCGTGGTTAAAGGAAATAAATTTAGTCTTGAACAGTGTCCTAAGAATGCTTTTGAGGAAAAAGAAATGCAAAAGATTCCTTATGCGTCAGCAGTAAGGAGTCTAATGTATGCTCAGTATGTATGCGTCCAGATATTGTGTACATTACTGGAATGTTGGGTAGATATTAAAGCAATCTTGGATTAGATCATTGGAAAGCAACTAAACGGATCTTACGGTATTTACAGAAAACAAAAGATTATATGCTCACGTATCGGAAGTCAGATGAGTTAGAGATCATTGGGTATACTGATTCCGATTATGCTAGATGCCAAGATACTATGAAGTCAACGTTAGGCTATATCTACTCGTTGGCTAGAGGTGCCATATCTTGGAAGAGTGCTAAACAGTTCCTCATAGCATCTTCTATTATGGCTACAGAATTTATAACTTGTTATGAGACATCCAATCAAGGAATTTGGCTGCGAAATTTCGTCACAGGATTACGTGTAATGGATAGTATTGAAACACCACTCAAATTATTTTGTGACAATAAATCAGCAATCCTATATTCTAATAATAACAGGAGTTCGAAGAAATCTAAACATATAGATATCAAGTTCCTGACTGTTAAAGAAAGAGAGCAGAGTGAACAGTTATCGATAGAGTATATCGGGACAAACTTCATGGTTGCAGATCCGCTTACTAAGGGATTGCCACCCAAAATAGTTCATGAGCATACTGTTTGTATGGGTGTCATGTTGTTAAATGATGTACAGTTTTAGTGAGAGTTTGATATTTTAAATGCTCTTATGATACTTTTCGATTATTAATGATTTAAGGATATTTTATTCATAAATAAAATTTGAATTTATTTACACTCTGACTTTGGTATGATTTGATCTCATAAAATTTAGACCAGTTAGAAATAGGCATGTTTTAATCACATTACATGAAATTTTCATGCTACACATCCACATCATGATTCATGTCGTTCAATTGAATCGATATATGTGACCATTGATGAGTCGAGTTATGAAATTGTAACAAAGGCCGTTTTGATCCTATATTGGTGTGATTGATGGACCGAATTGGCTACAGATATATTTTAGTAATGACAGTAAAGTTGAGTTCATACGGTTAATTGCGAAACATAATTATAAGGTTACACATATAGTCCAAGTGGGAGATTGTTGGATCCTTAATCCAACGTTGGACTTATATGTGAATAATTATGGGTTGCAAACTGTCAAATAAGATTAAGTCCAATTAAAGTGATCAAATATGGTTTTGACTTAATGTATCTAAGAGGATGTGAGCCTTTAATGTGTAGAGACTTAAGAGCCCCTATTTCTATGATGGGCTGAAATATGGTTCTAAAGGGTAACAGGAATGTTACCTATAAATAGGGTTATGGTTCCCAGGTCACACGTATAATTCTATTTGTTGTATTTTCTAGTACCACAAAATATAGCTCTTCCCTGATATTCCATCGTCAGGAAAGATCCCAGAAAGATAATAAAAGGCTCTCTCAAGGATCAGCGAATACATGTTGACCTGGAAGGCCACCTAATACCCTTGGAGAGTCATATATTTGTTTGTCGATATGAATCCAGGTACGCTTCCGCTATTTTACTATTAATTTATTTCCTATTAATCACCATATAGATTTTGGGTTTAATAGGTGATGGTTTTCACCAAAAGTTAATATAAATTACCACCCTAACAGATTTTTGGACGAGTTTGAGGCCAAAGGAAACGATCAGAAGTTGACTTCTATGGAATTTCTGAAATCCCCTCCTGGTTTCTTCCTCCAAGTCTCCCTCGGTTCTCCTTCACCTGCAGCTTTTTCCTTCCTTTTGCTTCCTTCTTGCAGCCCGTCGCCTCCCTCCTGTTTTCATTTTCTTGCTTTTTGTTCCTCCGCAGCAGCTTTCTTCTCTCGTTTCTTTTTTTTCTTTCTCTCCTAACCCTCACTCGATCTCTCTATTCTCTCACGCTCTCTCCCTTCTTCACTCAGCCACTCTCTCTCTCTAGCTACCACTCCAATTGTTCTTGCTCGGTTCCCTTTTCTCCAAGCCCCCCTCTTTTCTTTTAGTTCGGCTTTTTTCTTTTTCTTTTTTCCAGTTTTCCCGTAGCTCCCAAAGCATCCGTTCTTGCTCTCTCCCTCTCACTCTATATCTCACTCTCCTGTTGCTTTTTTTTTTCTGTTTGATTTTTCTCCTTCCCAACTCTCCCGAAGCTCCTCCCTTTGTCTCTCGGCTCCTCACATTTCCTCTCCTCAAAACCCTTGTTTTTTCTTTGTTTTTCCCGCCCCCAGACCTCTTTATCTCACTCTCTCGCCGCCTCTCTTTTTTTCTGGTTGTGTTTTCATGCATTTAAAGGCACCCAAAACCTAAACCTACGATGAAAGGTTAAGATTCCAAACCCCAAAATGGGTTTATGTGGCTCGTTGCTACCCCTTTGATCTTGTTCATGAATGGAATCCTTGAGTGATGAGCTGGACTTGTACTAAGAATGCTTGGAGGAAAAAAAACGTAATAGAAACGAGTGAAATTGGAAGAAAAAGCCGGTGGCAATTCTGGTACTATTTACTGGTTTTTTGTACCAGCTTCGTGAAGAAGAAGGCATCGTGGGGTTTTTTTTTATTGTTATTTTTTTTTGTTTTTTAAGTAAGCAAACAAAATTAATTCCTAGCAGAAATTGCATTGTAACATTTTTATTTATTTTAAAGAAATCAAACATATTTTTGTGAAAATTTTTCTTTTCAAAATTTTAATGCAAAAATATCTTAAAAATAAGAATTATGAACCTAATTTATATATGTAAACAAAAATAAACAGTACTATCATTTAATCAATTAAAATAAACATGAGAATAAATAATAAATAATGATAAATAATAAATCATATACAATAATTAATAATAATAATAATAATAATAATAATAGAGCTAAAATAAAAATTTGGTGTTGGTTCGACTCAAAAATATCGACTCCTTAGGTTGAAGAAGAATCACGTAAAGGACATATAAGTCCCTTGGGAATGATTTCACCCACTAAGTAGGGTTTTGATCTTTATCCATTGACCTTGAACCGCTCATTTCTTGCATTGATCACCTCCACTGTTCCATAAGGAAAGATTTGAATGACTTCAAATGGCTCCGACCATCTCGACTTAAGTTTTCATGAAAACAATTTAAGGCGTGAGTTGTAAAAGCACTTTTTGCCCTATCTTAAATTGTTTAGGGATAATATATTTATCATGCCAATATTTGACCTTATCTTTATAAATTTTGACATTCTCATAAGTATGTAGTTGGTGTTCCTCTAATTGCTGAATTGAAGTAATCTTCTTCCACCTGCAAGATTAAAATCTATATTAATTTCTTTAATAGACCAATATGCCTTATGTTCAATCTCCACAAGCAAAATGACTAGTTTTTTTTCATAAACTAATTGATACGGTGACATCTCCAAAAGCATATTAAATGCCGTTCGATAAGTCTAAAGTACATCATCGAGTTTTCTTACCCAATCTTTTCTTGATTTGTTCATCATTTTCTCCAAGATGAGATTGATCTCCTGATTTGCTAACTCCACTTGTCAATTTGCTTGAAAATGGTATGGGAGTGATGTCTTGTGCCTACAACCATATTAGGCACAATTATATTTAAACAATAAGGAGTCAAATTGTTTATTATAAAACTACTTTCCTTCATTACTTATTATGGCTCTCAAGATGCCGAATCTACTAAAAATGTTCTTCTTAATAAATCGAAATACCATCTTAGTATCACTAGTAGGTGAAACAATTGTCTCTATCCATTTAGAAACACAGTCCGTAGCTATTAAGATGTACTTATTATTAAAAGAACTAGAAAATGGTCCCATAAAATTCATACCTCATGCATCAAATAATTCAACCTCTAAGAAGGTAGTTCAGGGCATTTCATTCTTTTTAGAAACATTTTTTATTCTTTGACAAGCATCACAGCCTTTAACATATTTTCTAGCATCTTGATACATGGTCGGCCAATAAAATTCCGATTGCCATACATTAACTACGGTTTTTGAAGTACTAAAATGACAGTCCATTTTTAAGTTATGACAATGATACAAAATATCATGTACCTCATTCTCGAAAATACACTACGTATCATACCATCGGCACAATGCTTATAAAACAACGGTGTGACGATCCCACTTCTCCTTAGGGCGAACCCTAGGGTATTGGAGGGCCACATGCCTAACTCTCGTCAGGACTCAATACGAGTCAAATTTAAACCTAAGGGTAAACAACCAATAATAAAAGTAGATACAAAGAAAGGTCGCTTCCTTAAATAAACATTTAAATCTTACATCAAAAGTTACCAAAAGGTACATCAACTTTCCCAAAAATACAACCACCAAAAGTCGACTAATCAATTACATCCAAAATGTTAATCAAAAGATAATCAAGTCGACTTCTCCAAAAATCTTTCTATTTCGAGCTCCTGTTAAGGAAAACAAACTACGGGGTGAGCTAACGCTCAGCGAGGTCAAGAAAAGCATCCAAATACATAGTTCAAGTAACAATAACACTTGTACAAGAAATATAGCTAGAAAGTTCAAGTAATTCACAATTAACAATAAAGCACACTTAATAAGAATACGGGAGCTCTCAGGAGCTAGATTCCCATTGCTTTGCCAAGGCTCGATCCAGTACCTCCACGTGATAACCCTTCGTCAACCGGGTAGGTATCAAATCCGTAGAACTCCACTTACCTCCCTCATCCTTCATTTCACCCTCTCGGATCCATAACCAAACACTCACTGGGAGGGCAATACTACTCGAGTATGCCAAGCAAGACCTCAAAAGATCAAACTTATGATTTTCTCATGGTTTACCAGGCTTTTCGACCAAGCCCATGCCGACTCGAGTCGTAAGGTTGGCCAATGAGTTTTGGGCGTTCCCAGATGTAAAATTACAATAGCCAAGTTCACTCAATTCACTTATCAATTCACTTTCACGTAATTCAATTATAAATTCATGTAAGAGAGAACGAGTACGATAAAGTACACACTTGTCTCGACAATTCCAAATCACTCAATTAACAAGAAACAATTCAAGTATTTAGCAACAATTCATGCACTTGACACTCACCAATTCAAAAGTAAGTGAGTAAACAAAGCCCTTCAGTTGTCCACACCAGGATTCCTTTCGAAACACTCTTGAGCACCTGAAGAAACAGTGACCAACCATCACTCACATATACTCACGACCACTTAACATTTAAGAAAGAAAGTGCACTCGCTTAAAACTTAAGACAGTGTCTTAAAAGAGCTTTAATCCCTCAAAAATTGAGATTCAAAAATGATAATTTAAAATCTCAAGTGAATTCGTATCATTCATGAAATTGAGTTTAAAATGAACCATCAATCTCAAAAGGAAGCCGGAATTTCATTAAAATTCACTTCTTAGGAAATCAGAAATTTTTCCAGCTTTACTCGACGACACTTGAGAAATCGTATCTTGAGTTTGGAAGGTCCAAAAATGGAAAACTTTATATTGTTGGAAACTAGATTCAAAGTACCAAAACTTTCCCGAAAACACTTTTCCAATATTCCAACCGGAAACCATTCGAATTTCAGCTCAAAGTTACAGTTTCATGAAGACAGGACAGAACCAGTCTTGGTTTTTCAGCAATATTTGAAAATTCGGTGAAATTCACAGGAAGTGAATCAGCCTTTGAAATTTATAACACAACAAGAGATTCAACTCAAGTTTCAAACACAATAATTAGAACC